GTAAATATGCAGCTCAAATAAATGAATATAACAGTTACAGTAAGAAACCTATAATTTAGACTAAGTACAAGTCAATAAAGAAGTGGGATTTACTAAACATGCTGCAAAGAGTTTAAATAGGCAATTAGGATACGTAGACATGCTATTCTATGCTAACATGATAACTACACATGCTGGTATACTCAGATAAGATGAAAACATGCTATTACTCGGTAAAAATTAGATTTTTCCACAAATAGCCCGTGTACGCACTCGTCACCTCGCGTACACGACGCTCACATATCATAAAAACACCAAAACCTAAGGGGATTTCCCCCATACAAGGTTAGGCAAGCCACGTACCTCGAACCAAACTCAATCAATTGGTAACAATGTCTTTTCCATGAATATACGGCTCCGAATGACCCAAATCTAGCCAAAATCAATTACATACCATAAATACAACTATAAGAAATTAATCTAATTAATGAAATCAAAGCTAAACCAAGAAATTAGAAAATCGCCCCAAAAAGTCTCCCGGGGCCAACGTCTCGGAATCAGGTAAAAATCATAAAATATGAACACCCATTCACTCATGAGTTCACTCATACCAAAATTACTCAAATCCGATACCAAAATCTCGATCAAAATCCCAAAATTAAGCCTAAGAACTTTTCTCAACTTTTCCCCAAATTTTCACCCCAAATCACTAATTTAATGACGAAATTAAAGACATAATCATGGGAATTAACCAAAACTAGGTAAGAATCACTTACCCCAAATACCCACGTAACAATCCCTCCAAAAATCGCATAATTCTGAGCTCTCAAGTCCAAATGGTGAAAAATGACATAAACCCTCAATTTTGAACTTTTAAATATGCCTAGGTGTTCCCTTCTTCGCGAACGCGGTCACTCTCTCGCGTTCGCGTGTAACAAAAATTCCACTGACCAAATTTCCTCCTTCACGAATGCAAGGGACCTCTTGTGAACGCTTACCTTTCACTTCCTGGTCCTTCGCGAACGCGATACCCACTACGCGAATGCGTAGACCAAATGACTGGGGTCCCCAGCTGCCTCACTTCCTCTACGCGAACGCGTTCCACTCTTCGCGTTCGCGATGCTTCCACGGACCATACATTCGCCAACGCGGGCTCCTTTGTGCAAACGTGAAGAACAAACTTGAGATGGCCTCCCAGATGCCTATGCGATTGTGAGACCTCTCTCGCGAACGCGATGAAGAATTGTCTGCAACAAAAACACTAGAAATCTGCTATCTTTTCTTAAGTTCAAAAGGTTTGTTAACCATCCGAAATCAACCCGAGGCCCCCGGGACCTCAATCAAACATACCAACAAGTCCTAAAATACCATACGAACTTAGTCGAGCCCTCAAACCACATCAAACAACGCTAAAAATGACGAATCATCCTCCGATTCAAACTTAAAGAACTTGAAACTTCCATATTCGACAACCGATGCTGAAACCTACCAAACCACGTCCGATTGATCCCAAATTGTGCACACAAGTCATAATCAACCTTACGGACCTACTTCAACTTTCGGAATCACAGTCCGACCCCGATATCGAAAATTCCACTACCGGTCAAAATCTCCAAAACTTCGACTTTCGCTATTTCAAGCCTAAATGAGCTACAGACCTCCAAAAACACAATCCGGACATGTCCCTAAGTCCAAAATCACCTAACATAGCTAAAGAAACTGACGGAACTCCATTATGGAGTCGTCTTCACACATTTCCGACTATGGTCCAAATCCTAAGGCTTAAGCTTCCGTTTAGGGACTAAGTATCCCAAAATACTCCGAAACCACGACCAATAACTCCTGGCAAGACACATAAGCAGAAAAAGACACGGGAAAATAGTAGACAGGGGATCGGGGCTATAACTCTCAAAACGACCGGCCGGGTCGTCACATTAATGATATGTGATAGGTAGCATATTACCACTTGATTACGTCATAGTTGATTTAGAAAATGACGCGCCATGGTGATGGTTTTTTGAGCAGTTCAAACATGCATATGGTGAAAAATCAAATATGTGTGTTGTTTCGGACCGGAATGAGAGTATATTGAAGGCAACAATAACTGTTTTTACAATATCCCACATTATGCTTGGATGTGTCATATTTGGACAAATATAAGGACGAAGTTCAAGAAAGGTCTAAAGTTAAGTGAACTGTACTCTGTCACAACACGATCATACACTTTTGATGAATTTAATGAAACAATGTCAAAGATTGAAAAGATCAACATACGTGTAAAAGAATACCTTTACGATATCGCTTATCACAAATGGTCTTGGGTACATGCAACAATGAACAAAACATGGACGATGACATCAAATATTGCAGAATCCTTGAATGCAGTAAATAACGATGCAAGAGAGCTACACGTAGTTTAGTTATTAGAGTAAATGAGGACACTTCTTGAACGATGGAATAATAAAAAAATTATTGGATACAAAGTGTACGTTCACATTCCTTGGAAAAAAATACAACAAAGAGGTACATGACAACATGACTTTATCCCAAAAGATGAGAGTAAGTTATGGTCCATATCAGAAGATCATTGATAGCAGTAAACTAATTAAATATTGATATTTGTATATATGTTATTGTATAATTGTAGTTATTTTGTTTTTACTGACTGTTGTTATCTTATCGATGTTTTTGTAATAAAATTGTAGGTGAGGGCTTCAACATATTACATCCATACTATGATAGATGGTGTCAAACGCTTCATTGTTTGTCTTCAAAACAAGAAATGTAGTTGCGGACAATTCTAGCTTGATGAACTTCCATGTCCACATATTTTGGCGGCTTTGAGGCATAGAAACGAGTCTTATGAAAACTACTGCTCTCCTTATTACACGAGGGAGAGCCTTCTCATGACTTATGAAATACCAGTGGACCCTCTACCAGACGAAAGCAAATGGGATGTTCCACAACATATAGCATAAGAAGTTATCCTACCGCCTACTGGAAAAAGGTAGCCATAGAGATATCAAAAATAAAGATACAAACCATATGATAAAATAAAAGAAAAGAAGTGCAAGGTTTCATGCGGCAACTGCGGACAAGAAAGGCATAATACGAGGTCTTGTAGGAATATTCCAAAAAGAAAATAATAATTGTTGAAGTTTAAGGAATTTTGTTTTTTTACTGAGTACTATTGATGTAATAAGCTGACCTTTAAGCCATATTTAGTTGTATTTGTTCGCTGCTAGACGTATTAGTTGCACTATAATCATGGAGCTAAATTGAATAAAATTTGTCTCCTCATATGACTGTTTGGTAACAGACCTGAATGCAATTGGTTTTGTATTAATAATTATGTTAATTTTATAATTTTAAGCTTTATTTTACAAGACTGCTAAATTTGTATGGGTATTGTACATAAAGTATATTTGTTGTAGCTAAATTGTATATATTGTGTAACGAAATTGTAGTTAAATTATAACATGCTAATAGAGAGTAGTATTTTATATGTAATTAAAATGTACTTGAATGGTAAAGCTAAATGTTTGAGACTTTACATTTTAAGTAGCATTTATGTACAAAATGTGTTATGTATGATAAAATAGGCATAAAAAAGATGTTATGTTGTATCACTATGGAGATCAAGTACTAAGAACTTTTAACAAAAAAATATTCTACGGATGTGTTGATATTTAACCCGGAGTAATTTTGCTAATAGAACAAAAAAAGGCAAAACAAGTTTACTACAATTAAGCTACAACTAAACAATTTCACTACAATCCTGCTAATGGATTAGCTAACTAATTTCTTTTGTTCCGGACTATTGTTCGCTCCCTCACTGCTGATGCACATTTTTTTCTTGCTAATCTTCCAGTAACCTCACTTTCACTGATTGCACCAAGCTCTTGCTTCTTTCTAGCATAATTTCAAAGGAACGCTCCATAGCATTTATGGTGTTGATCAATATAAGAAAGCTCTTCATTTGGAATCAACAATTGTCTAAGGCTGACATATTCAACGTAATCACTGCAAAAAATATAATGGTAAAAGCTTTAGCAGTTAGTGTAAAATGAAATTGGGCAAAGAGAAGTAAAAGAAGTACATACAGTGATCCCTCTTTTTGTTGGGGTATCTCTCCGACCAATCACTGAATTTCAAGAGGGTCAGTAACATATTTTCAATGTATACCTTTGTGTTCTTATAGTTAATATCTGGCCGCTTGCCAAACAAGCTGGTGCATGACAAGTAAAGGGGGATCATAACAGCAAACTTCTTGATAACCGATTCAACAAGTTTGTGATTACGGGAAGAAACTAAAGAATCGTAAAGATAGAGAACACTATCGGTAATGTCAAACACAACCAACAACCGATGAAATTTTTCAACAATGTTGATGGGGATAATCACAAACTCAACTTTGTCCCATGCAACATTTGCAAGTAATCGGTACCCCAATATGTATTCTGATACGATATCCGTTTGTTTGACGACAACAAGTTTTCTATCGGCATGGGCCTTCATGTACTTCTCATGAACTTGTTCTATTCTGGTCTTGAAGCAATAGTCAATGTTTGTAAAACGAGTTCTGTTTTCAGGATCATACTTTCCTCTCTTTCTCAAATAGTATAAAATCACATCAATGTGCTACAAAAAAATAACACAAGACATAATTTATCACTACATTCAATAATTTATAAATAAATGTATAACAAAATATCTACAAATATCTAAAAAAACATAAAATTGTATCTTATAATTATCTGTCGAGGTTTGAATGAATCGTATTAGTTAGGATTTGTCCAGGATGTGCCAAAGTATAAAAACAGTCATTTCTATCAACTTTCTCAACTCCAAAATCAAACAACGAGTTGAGCAGGTTATCTTTAACAGTATAAGATGCCTTCTTCCTATTTAAAGACATAAAAAAATAAATAAAAATGTACTGGCAAATGAAAACTCATAAATTTTATGCCCTCCATAATATGAAAAGGTGTAGAAACTAATCTCATTAAAACCTTGCCGGTCCCAAAATATACACAGTCACACAATTCTTTCAACTAATTAGGATCAATATTAGCACCAATAACCCCAGTAAATTGATGCTTAATGTGAAAAATAGGGGGAGATCCAGTAGAACTGCTTCTACCATAGCTGAAATCCGGGACAAATAGAGATCTAGCATGCTTTCCAGAAAGCCTTGTTCTTCCTTGTTGTAGAGAGGTTGTTTCATCTTGGTTAACATCGCCAAACTTAACTATATGTGAAAAGTTCTTAGGCAACTCAAAATCATCTAGGGTTATTGACCTTTTTCCATACTTAAAATCATTGTCCGAGTCAGCAACATTGACGAAGTCGACTGGTTCACCTACAGAGTTAAAAACAAAGAATAATATGGTATGTTGCTTGCATAAGATATGTTGAAAAATTGCTAATAATATAAAAGCTGTGATTTTTTTATACAGTTTATTAAAACTACATTATAATGTAATAATTGATACCATTGAAATCTTCATTGTAATTCTCTCCTTGTTGGAAAATATTTGCTTCCTGAATTGAAGAGTGCAAATGCATCGTTCCTTTCTCTGTGACATCAGATTTATAAAAGTTATAGAATTATATGGATTTTGTTTTAACATAAGAAAAGGAAAATTAATATGTATGAGGTTCTACCAATTAAATGTTCATTGAAATCCTCTATTTTTATGGCAACACTCGCATCCTGATTTGGAGAGTGTAAATGTATAGTCTCCTTCTCTGTGACAACATATGTATATAATATTATAGAATCGTAGATAATTTTTTTTAACAGAACTAAAATATTAATAACTTGTAATTAAGTTGTAGTAAGAATGTTGAAATCATGTCATATAGCTGTAATGTATTGTATATGTTGAAATAAAGAGAAAAAATATATGAAATCATACATGTTGTTTCTTTCATGAATGCCTCTTGAAACTGGGAAGATAAGGCAACACCTATTGGACATGATATAGGAACATTCTTCTCTTTTAGAATATCAGGCATATGTTCTGTACTTACAACAATATATGGAAATATAATGTAGATGATATGTACTAAAAGTTGTTGACAATTTGTAAATATGTATAACATATGTAAGTCTGTCACAAATTTGTATTAGAATTGTAAATACTTATTTTAGTGCTGCTGCCCAATTCTTGTTTGGAACTACTACCATGATACTGTTGTGTGTTCCCTGCTTGGTAATGGTCAGCATTTTTTTTAAAACTGCCACTACCCTGCAAGTAAATAGATTAAGGATGCAGCTTTGTGAATGCTAATATAAACATAACTAGTGTACTTATTTTTGGCCAAAATGACTATATTATAAATGACACCTTAGCATTGATATTAAATCATGTTGACTATTGATTGCTCGTAACACGGTCTTGAAGGAATCGGTGAATAGCTCTCGCATGCTACCTAGTTCTTCAAAAACCTAGAAAACCAAATAAGCTTAGTATGTACCTAATAACACGAGGCTTACAAATATATAAACAAGCCTATAAATATAAAATGAGGTATACCTTTTTCTCGAATATTCCAAGGTCTAAACCGACCCAAGGCAAAAAATAAAATGAGTTAAAGAAATTATTTGTCACAACATAAATTGCCTCGAAAAAAACTTGCAATGTCAAAAGTTATTACCTTATCCACATCATATCTTAATTTTTTTAGTTCTTCCAAAATCTCTGAATTGTCATCTCTTCCCATAGACTGCTTAGTGCCAGATGAAAATGGAGCATCTCTCGGATGGACGGCCTACGTATCAGCTTCTTCTACCATATACTCATCTTTGTCTAGCAAAGTCAGTCTAGATAGTTCTTCTAGGGCTTCAATCATGTTGGTGAACTGAGTGAAACAACCATATAAGAGAGTTAATGAACTTATGTATATAATTTGTAGTTATATTATCTGTAGAATAAACATGTGAAATAGTTGTGTTAAACATGTTAATATTTTTGTTAACATTAATGTATGTAGAAAATTAGTAATATGGATTGCGTAAAATTTACCCCGATCCAAGATGGTTTGATCATCTTCTCTCCCAATGCAAAAATTCATATCTTGTCCTTTGTTACTGTCCAAATAAGGATACGGGGGATCGAATTGCTAACCTTTGTAGCAATATCTGTGTTAACTCAGAGCAACACATATACAACTATATTTGCATAGCGAGGAGAAAACCTCAAAAAAGGTAAAAATGCACGGATGAGCTCAACTTATGCCTAGCAGACTGAAGCAATAGTGTATAAGCATCTATATCCCATGGGTAATTTGCATACTGCTCTGAGTCAGCCAAATAGAACCGAAAGTGGTCTATCAAACCATTCTCTTTCTCTGAAGCAAGAGGAAGAGCTCTATAAGATACAGAATACATAACTTGACTACATTCTCGTCATTCACTCAACTATGGCCCAACACAATTTGTTGCAGGTACGACTTCTCAACTTTTTTCTTGTTTGGAAAATAATTTCTCATTGTTTTACTATCATATTTAGGAGTGTACCCAAAGTTTGTTAATTCTGTAATACATTTGAGGCCGGTAATAAGAGCAAACTCCCTCAGCCCAAAGTTCAGCCTCTGACCCTTTATCTCTGCTGAAAAAAATCAGACCTAGTTGTATTCAATTTATTCTTCAACAGAAGGTTAATTGCCTGATTTTGTATATATATTTTCGGCATGTCAAGAAAGTACCCAAAACATGTCTTCTCAAATAATGTTTTACCCTTATAAGACAATAAGACTTTAATTTGGGCAGGAATAACAAGGTCAGATAATATTTGAAACCTAGTGACGACATAATCAATATCATGTGGTGCAATTTTTTTTATTATATACGGAAAGAACAATAAGTTACTAAAACATGTTTAAAGACATAAAAGACAAACATAAGAACAATGCTGCTACAATTTATCTATACGCAAATGACAGTAGTACATTGACAAGTCCCAGACATTTAAATGGCAAATTCAAATACAAATAAAATAATTAAACTACAATGCAACTACATAAAACTGACAGTGATTTGTTTACACAAAATTTAGACAACGTATTGACAAATTCACATACATATTGAACAAGAAAACTACAACGTAACATACATTTAAAATAATGGGTAAAAAATAACTCCTATACATATTATCTATGATTTTTTTACAAAGAAAAAATAATTAAAATGGTTTTGAAACAAAATTGAAAAAATTAACATACAACACATGACATATTCAACCTTCATACTGACAAGAGAACACAAAATAACCAAGAAAACAAACAAACTCATGAAATACATACCACAAATAAATTTTCATCAATTATTATACAACAAATATGCAATTGCAAAAATATTTAAAAAATTTGAAAACAACAACATATACATAATGTAGATAAATTTTCTACAATAAAAAATAGGTTGCAGAATGATTATGAAATGGTTTTTTTTACTAAAACTAAAAAATAAATATTGTAAATACCACAATGTTACCTTGTCTAAAGGATGTTGAGGTATGCGTATATAAGATTTATGAACCTTCTTTCTTTTTGAAGGTTTGTCAGCAAGAGATACTTTTATTTTATTTTTTTTGCAGATTTGGGAATCACATCTCCCTCCACGAAATCGTCATCGCCAGCGATTTCTTTGCCCTCCCATTTTACTAGCTTTGCAAATGACGATCTTTCAGCAGCATCCCTGTCGTGCTTTAATTTTGTTCGCGCATCTGCTCTAGCTTCACAAGGGGTAGGGGAAGAAGTTTTCTCTGGTGTTGTATGTTGGGAGATTTTACCCTTTTTTTGG